GGACCCTGAGAAACGCCCCATGATTGCCAATTATATTGTGTTTACCCATTTGCGCTCTATGCAACACCACCCAAGGCAGCTTGTTCCACACATAAGGTCAGAAGTTGGCAGAGATTTTGCGTAGAGAGGGAACCTTTGGCAAGATGGAGCTCAAGGTCAAATCGCTTCATTCCAAAACTGTTGAAGAGACGCTCCAGGGAGGGTGGCACACAGAGGTATCTCTTGGACGCCTCGGGTGGACCGAGCGCATAGCTTAATATATGTTTTGCAGTGGTATTTATGTGCACACTTTATAATATGTATACGATTGTTTTGCTCTGAGTGGGTGCAACCCAGGCAGATGATCCAGAACAGTCGTGAGTGGGCTGCGAGCAGAAACCTGTTAAAGAAGAACCCAGTTCATGGTGCAGATGAGTGGCGCATTCCAGTTGAAGCCACTTACACGCATACCGACAGAACTTCGCACGAGACCGAGGGGTCTGAAGAAATGCTGGTTGATGATCCAGAAGGTCATCTATTGGACACTTCTGGCGTGGATGTCGATAGCCTGATCAGGCCTTTTAGCAAACCACTGACCTAGCTCATGATGCTTGTGCGCAAGTCTTTTTGCGCAAGAGCATGTAGTACTAGTCGTGGAAAGCAATAGCACTATACTTTAAAGAGGGTGTGCGTGTGTCTGTTTGTAGGCGAGGTGCTTCAGCGGTCAAGACCGGAGGAAGCTTGTCTGTGCAATCTGCCAACAGCGCTCGAATGCAGGGGCTTCCAATGATTCAGCAAAATGCTGATCCCTTCAGTGTCTTGAATACGTCAATGTAGATTGACATCAACTTGATCAAAGTACAAGAGATGCGCCACGTACATATTTTCGATTTTGTTTCTGAGTCTTGGGCGAGGCTACATCACGTCTTACATCGACCAAATGGGCCGCAAGATTGACAAGGTTGCAGAATTCCAGGAGTGGTTCTCGCTTTTTGGGTGTTTTTGTTCATGGAGGAACCACGCCACGCAGTAACCACACCTAGCACGGTTTGATTATGTCACATTTGGAACGGCGAGGAGAAGATCAGCACGTACAACACCACAAGGTCGCATGAGACACTAGCTTGCACATGGTCTTAATAAGCCTGTCCTTCTGCCACGTATTTGCGTGTCCACACTGCTGTACGGCCCAGGATGGCTGACTCGCTCAAGAAGACACAGGAAGAGTACCAACTGCAGTACGATGAGTTGGTTGATTTTCAGAACAATGCTGCGAAATGGCTGAACCTTCAGATTCACGGTTGCATGAAAAAATGTGCATAACACTGAACACATTTATATAGTTTTCAAATTCCATTAAGTGGCTTTAAGGAAGCTTCAAGAGAGGATCTGCGGAAGATCTTTGTCAATTGCACGCGGAAGGACATCAAAATCAACAACCTTTTGTCAAGAGCAAGGCTCTTTGTGGGTGATGTTTGTTCAGTTTAAGTTTAAATATATGTTCATTGATTGCTCCTGGGCAGGGCCTTGGAGCCGGCACCCAAGGCGAAAGCTGCTTCCAAGGCCAAGGGAGCCGCTCCTAATGGAGCCGCTGCTGCAAAGGCCAAATCGGCCCCGGCAGCAAAGGATAAGGTTCGTCCAAAGAGGAAGTCTAAGTCTAAGGCTAAGGCCTAGAAGTAAGTAGCTGGATTTGGCTTTTGGGGTTCGCTATAGTTCGTTTTCGAACTCGCTCCATATGGAAACTTAGCATATGGATTCCAGTGGCCGAGAAGTGGCTCACACCATTTGACACATAATGCTCGGGGCTGCTCAAAAATTGTGCATGTGCATCGTGTTTGGAGCCCACTGCACTGCAAGAACTACACCGCGGTACACCGAGGTTAGGCAATTTGGGTGTGACTTGCCAGGTCGTGATGCACGGATTGCCTTGCACTCTATGGTTGGAGGCGGGGCCAAAATGTTCAAGCTGATCCTGCGCATGCTGGTTTTCTTGCTATAGGAGAGTTAACTCTTTTTCCTGAGTTAGCTATCGTTGGAGGATGTGATGGTGAGAGAGAGCAAACCGAGCTGGACAACACCCATGCCTTGGAGCTTCTAGAAAGCTATTTCTCGGGAGTTTCTTGACAAAACTTTGTTTCACTTCGGGAAAGCTAAACTCATATGAATATATGTGGAACATGTGATTGATAACTGCTCACCCAAGGCAGAGACAGCCAAAAAAGTTACGAGGACAGCTCAAATCGCGCTTGCAAATCGCTCCCACAGCGCCTTGGCGTAGATATAGTAATATGTACGTAGCTCTATCTATAATTAAACGTACTATATAGTATGATGCGCTTGTGAAATACAGTCTCAGCAAACCCAGCCATCCCCCTCTTGTGCCAAGGGACTGGAGATCTTCTTTGCAAGATCGCATCGGCGGCCAACAGCAAGACCAATGTGACAAGGAACCTGACCGTTGCAATCCACAAAGCTGGTGCATCACTTCAAGTTCCTATCGATGTAGTTCAAACGACCATCAGGTTTCGAAAGCCGAAAGTCAGAATCGAACGTGTTTGGTGGCCTGTTCTTCCGATGAAGAGCTGGATTCCACTTCTCATGGAACAGTTTCCCCAGGTGTTGCTTGGAGGGCACATGCTGGAGCAAGAAAGCAAGTGGCGTTCACTCTTGCGATTTTTTGGGGCACCTTTCAACAATGTGACCCGAATCATCCAGTCTTCACTGATGGAACTGATCTTGAGACAGCTATACCGTACATGATACACGGAGACGAGGGCCGTGGCCTTCGGCGACAACCATTTATGGTACAAGCATGGCAACCGGTGCTGTCATGGAAGGGCCTGGCCAAAACCAACACAAGCGGGCCCCATTGCTTGCACATCATTCTTTGCTGGGCGTTGATTTTACAATCCCACTTAAAGGATCCCAAACAAAGTAGGAAGCTGACCATTATTAAATAATATGTCTATTTTGGGAACATATATATGTTTAAGATTGCCGTCCATGGGTAGCTGAGGCATTCATTTTGCTCCCGGATCTTGCACTCCTGCATCACGAGTCGCTTTTTTAATGGAGAACAAACTCTTGAAGACTTAAACAGGGCCTGGGCCAATGAAATGCGTGATCTCCACTATACAGGGATAGAGGCGGGAAGAAGGTTTAGACTAAGGGCCTGTATGACAACCATGCATTCCTTTTCGCAGGTCAAAGGAGGCCATCGATTCAAGTTTATCTTCATCGCGGGCAAAGGTGATTGGCCCTACATTCGAAAAGCCCCTGGGCCCTTATATGGGTTTTCCAACTTGTGCGCGTGCACCGTATTTCGGTCAGTTCCTGCAGAAACCAAGGCATTTGCCTTAGCCACCGGTTTCACCTCCAAAAGGCTATGTCACTGGTGCGAAGCAAAGGTCTGGATCCTCAAAAAGAACAACCAAACACAATCTGAGTACCACATAGTACCACCTCAAAAGCCCAACTCTCTCCAGCCCCACTAGCCTGTGCCAGGAGTGGTATGACTTCTCAGCTGGCGCCTCGTGGAAGGCACTGCCAAGACCTGCAGAAAGGTCTCCATTCAAACGCAGACACCCATTTTGGGTAGTGCCGGGTGCAGACTCATGTATGCGCATCATGCCCGACATTGTGCACACCTTCCATATTGGCATTGGTGTTGATTTCTGTTCATCGACAATTGTTCTGCTGGCCAACAAAAAGAAGTTTGTGAGTCCTTTTGGGGATAAGTTGAACCACTTTCTCGATGCAGCTTACACTGCGTTCATCCAATGGTGCAAGAGAGAGAAGCGCTACACAGCGTGTGATGTGTGGACCCAGAAAGCCATGGGCGTGAAGGGGACTCTTGTCTAATTAATGTTCATTTGCATGATGTAGAAAGAACTTGTGTTGCGCAACATGTTTCGCGCAATCCAATCTACAACAACTAAGGCCACGTACGTTCCCCACAAGCCTAGCTGGAAAAGGTCATGATACTGGTGTTGTTTGCCGCTTTTTGGAAGACTTTCTCACCCACCAGGTGCCTAATTTGTTGCCAAGTCACCAGTTACCATACGGCTTTAGAGGCAGTGAGTTGAAACCTTGGCTCACTTGGCTTCTGCAGGTGTCATGCGATTGTGAGATGCTTGAGATGGCCCTTTACGCAGTTCGGACAGTGAACAAGTTCTTTACCATCCTCAATGGAAGTGGTACTTTTTTGTCTTCCACAGATTCTGCAACTGCGAGAAGGGCAGCCTTTGAGTTCTGCGAGCCATGCCTGCATTATAGGTTCTTTCTTTTGTTAAGCCCTTGCCCTTGCGACCTTCCAGCTCGATGTTGATCTATACTTAGTCTCACCAACTCAGGATGCCTACGCTCACTTAGCCTCGCAATCCTATTCCAAGTCATGGAAGCTATATCGATTGAGACCCAAATTGCATATGTTTTGGGAAATCGCAGAAAAGCTTGCAACATCCAGGGTATCACCGATGGTGAGTGGATGTTGGAGCGACGAAGACTTCATAGGACGGGTGTCCCGAGTTCACCGAGCCACCCATGGAGGAGCAGCATCTGTCGCGACCATGCGACGCTGCTTGGGTCTTTACAAAGGATTACTTGACAAAACCTTTGCGGCCCAGCGGCGCTAGGATTGCACCAGTCGCTGGCAAAGAAGTTGGCAAAGAGCGCAGCGCAGCAGATGGGAGGGGTGGGACATCACACCAACATCACGCAACATCGATCGCTTCAAACCACATCGCCTAGAACGCCTAGAAACCTCCCCAAACGATGAAAACAACTAAAATTTACTAAACTTCTTAAATCACTAGAAATTCCTAGTAGATTGAATCTGCAGGCATATGGTTCTGAGATCATGGTTTTTGCAAATCGTGCCCCCAGGAGGCCCCAGTGCGGTTCCCTGTTCGAACATGGCTCCACTATTGCCCTTCAAACCTTTACGGGTTCTCACACGGCTCACTTCCAGCTGCTTCTTCCTCAGATCAAACGACACCTCTCGCCACACCGCAAGACCGGAGGACGAGCTCACACCCGTGACCAACAGCCACTGGGACGAACACGCGCAGCGTGGGAGCGAGCCTGGGAGACCAGGGGGGTCGAGGAGATAGGCCAGCCCTGGCTAGGAGATTGCCTCCTGCAAGGCTCCAGCCTGGCCTGGGACTGACCGTTCAAGGGCCCATTGAAACCCAATAGCCTTAGACTGAAACGGAGGCAGGGATGCAGCTCTACCTGCCAAAGGATTTGAAACATGAGCACGTTTTTGCAGTAGGAATCGGCTCCTGGACCTTTCTGAAAGAGCACCAACAAAAGCTCCAGTAGACTATGCAGCCGCAGGTCATGGCCGGAAGCCTGCGTCTCCTGGAAACACATTCACATCCCCAGTCAGCATCAGTCGGGTGAGGATCCACTGTTTTTTCCGATCTGATGTGATGTGACCTGCCAGGATTCAACCTGCCACCGATTGGCTCCACTCCCCTTGGATGGGAACCTGCCGATGGCTGTTTTGGAGTCGTCCAGTGATAGCGAGGTATATATTTGGTCAGACACGACCCATGGGACTGGAGTACTCACCTTTGGAGTACTCACATGTGTATGTTAGACCAGGCAGTTTGAAGGTGTCCAGCCAACCTTGAGAAACCTTGAGAACCTTCTCATTTGTCATAGCAACCACTTGCAGAAGAATGTATTAGAGAATAATAGTTCCAGAAGGCATTCCTTGCCCATGCATTGCATACCTACTTTGCCCCCGCAAACCAGTTGAAATTGATCACCCCCATCATATCCTTCCTTTGAAGAGCACACTCCCCTAGTAGGTCATTTGGTGTTGACTTTGGTCTGACCAATCTTCAGATAACCTTCAACCTGTGTTGGGGGTCGGTTTCCCACTAAATATGAACAGCGACCCGTGCTGGCAATGGGAGGTGCGAACAGCTGGAAAAAGGTTCACCTTTTTGTTTCAGGGTGACCCCCTTTCCAATCTGAACTGCCCCTTTCCCGAGGCTACAACGCACTCATCAGCGCCTGTGCCGCAGGTCCGGGACGAGCCAGACGAATCGCAGCTGGTTCCTTAGAACATCATGGAAGCTGAGCATGATGAGCATCCGATGCACCTGTAGGGGTATTGTAAAATATCTAATTATGTCTCTTCCACGAGGGCAAACCACTTGTTTTAGATTCTAGGTTTACCACCTCCATGTTCAGAGGCCCACACCTCAGGTTCTGGAAAACACATCCGACACATCCTAACCCACTTTTTGCGACCCGACAGGGGATGGTCTGCTGCTGATGAGACTGCATGTACAAACAATGAACTCCTCTCCAGTCGACTCGGCCGCCCAAACACGAGCCGCGGCCGGGGTGGGCACTCGAGCTTGACGGGACGGTTTGGCTGAAGAGCCCACGAGTTGTTGCTGAAGAGCCCAAGAGTTGGATGCAGTACAAGTTGGATACGCACTCATCCAGGAAGTAATTTGATTGCATTCAACAATAGCAATACTGTACGTGTGACCAAGTAATGTTCATTCATTTAGTTGAACATATACTTGTATCATGCAATGCTATTGTTCCACATATATTCTATTCATTTGTGGTTGATTGATTGCATGCTGGAAGCCAACCACCAAGTGACATGCATTGGTGGTTGTTGACCTTGGTGGTGACGTCGTCGTGGAAGATGTTCAACATTTGTCCAACTTCCACCCGAGGTCACCAACAGCGATATGTGAGTGAGTCTCCTATTGAAGTCCTGGCACCAAGAAGCTTTCAAGGCAAGTGAATATAAAGTTTACGAAGTTTAGTTGGTTCCAATGTGGATACTGTGGTTACAGTAGCGAGTGGCAAGCGACATGGCTGAGCGCGAGAAGCTTTGTACACGGTGGATTTCATGCCCACAGGCCACGTGTGGCCTGGGTTCTTTCCTTTCTTTCAAGACCCCCAAGGACTCGGTATGACTCGCTTCCCTGGTGGGCCTTTCTCTTCCTTTCTGTTTTCATGACTCTGCCAGGCAATGAGTGGCAGCGGTCCCTTCAGCTACTGGAGGATCCCAAAACTGCCACATCCGGTGGACCCGGCCACGTCGATTCGCTCACGCAGAACGCACGCGAGACGCACGGAAACCGACCCTTCTTCTGACCCGACCGTGTGACCAACGCTGGAGGGGTCGAACGGGGTGACCAGGTCACCAATCCGGTTATTTGAGGGACTAAGGCGCTGTGAACGGAGCCTTCGATCGGCAGATCATTCTTTCGCGGAAGTCTTTGACGTTTTGCGAATGGCTCGGTCTGGATGGGTCGGGGATTATGTCTTTCATGACCTCTCCTGAGTATAAGATACTCGTAGTATACGCCTTCCGGAGATGGCGGACAAAATGGCAGCCGACTAGGCACTACAGTGGCACTATAGTCACCAGGCCCAGACACTCCATTGGGTTGGAATGTTTACAATTGGGGTGGTTGAATAGGGGATCAAAGGGATGAAAGTCGAACAAATATGCCAGTCGCATGGCAGTAGGCTAGCGCTTTTTACATCTGTGGTGGCCTCCCCTATACTGCTCCCCCCTCCGCAATTCATACGGCAAAAATGACGTAGCCAGTCATGGCTCGTTCCATGGGACTGCCATATTTGCCTACATGGGGGTGGTTTGGGGGTCAATGGGGCGGCATATATATTCCATACATGTCCCACCCCTTTCCTGGCCGCCTGTGGAAAGCTGGAGCCACGCACCTGGTCCATCCGCAGGAGCTGGGCGATTCCGGCGACGCCATCAGCTACGCCGCGGCCATCGCCAGCTGCGGAGGCGGTTCTGGAGCGACCTGCTGCGGAGCGACCTCGTGGAGAGCCCAAAATGGAACAACATGAACATACCCTAGGGCTCCAACGTGGTTGGGGTGGGTGCCAGGAGGGTCTAACCACCGAACCTGAGGAGATGGGCCAGGAGCCCAGGAGCCCTAGGGACAACTGCCTGAAAAGGGTATTGATCATGGCAACGACTTGACGGCAACTCGATGAAATTGTGGAGAAGATTTGTTGAAGCTTGTGCCTTGGATGGAACGTGTTTGACCCTGCTTCTGTGGCTTAAGTACTTGACCCGACTTTGCTACGCCATGTGGTCCGGCTAAAAGGTCACGTTGTTCGGAGCTGCCGTGCGGCCGCTCTTCATCAGTGGCACCGGAGCCGCCGTTTCAGGTCGCTTGTGCTGCCCGTACGCTTCCGCTACTGCGCTTGCTCCCTGGCTTTTGCACGTGCTTGGACTTCTACCCCTTCCCTTTTGAGTTTGACCTGGGTGATCCTTGCGGTTCAGGTCGGGTTGATTCAGGACAGGGCGGATAAGTAGTCCTTGGAATTTGGTGGGCACTTCAACCTAAGGTTCTTGGCCCGTTGCTTTTGCTTGTTGCACCCTTGTTTCCACCGCTAGTTGTCGAAGACCACATCATGGCCGATGAGGACAAGAACGGAGGGTCAGGAGCTTGGTCAAGAGTTCCTACCTGGGATGGCAACCCTCAGGGCTGGAGAGCCTTCATGAGGGAGATGCAATGGTGGATGTCAGCCCTCGACCTTGAGGGAACGAAGAAATACAACCTGGCTGCACGATGGTTGTTGAGGCAGAGCGGCATTGTCCGCCAACGTGGCGAAGAATTCTCGCCTGCTGACTTGGAGTATCAGCGAGAGATCACCGCCACTGACCCGGTGACTGGGGAAGTCGTTGTCATTACGCCTGAGGATCCGTTGGCTGGCTTGCACAAGTTGTTGCGTGCATTGGAGGGCATCAATGGCAAGACGGTCCTTGATAAGCGTGGTGACCTTCGCAATGCCTTCTACTTGGAGCTCCGTCGACGACCAGGTGAAAGGTTGGCAGAGTTCTGCACGAGGTTCAGGTCGGCAGTTGCTGATTTGAAGGCAGAGGGCGTGGTTTTGCCTTCCTCGGAGCTCGGCTGGTTTTTGAAGCAGAAGCTTGGATTGGACGCGATTCGAGTTCAGTTGCTTGAGACGGCATTGCAAGGTAAGGAGTCGTATGAGGAGACGGAGCTGGAGGTCCTTCGACTTTTCCGAGACCTTCATGCGGCTGATCCGCTTGTGAGAAAGGGTCCTCCGTCCGATGGTCACCGTAACCCCATCTTGAACAAGTTCATGTCCCAGCAACACCACCAGCAGTACAGGAATCCCTCGTCGAAGAGTTCGTATGCCCCCTCAACAGCTCCTTCAGGTTCATCGTTTGGTTCGAGCCGCATGAGCACTTCGTATCGGTCGGACAGGCCTTTCCCTCGAAAGCCACAGCAGCGTCAAGCTTTTGCTGCTGAGGTTGAAGAAGAAGAACCTCATGAGGAGACTCATGAGGATGAACCGGATGAGCAATACTCCCTGGAGGAGGTCTTGCAGGCTGAGGCTGAGATTCTGGCCACGGAGTTGGAGGAAGCCGTTGATGACGGCATTGGTCCTGACATCATTCAAGATGTCGAAGAGACCGTAGAATCGGCAGCGGAGGCTCTGTTGACTATGAGGGAGGCTCGGTCAAAGTTGGCTGAGGTTCGAAAAGATAGAGGCTATGGCAAGGCCTCGACAGGCAAGATGGCCAACAAGAAGAGCAAGCTTCCTTGTTTTGATTGCAACCAACTCGGCCACTGGGCCGGAGATCCTGAGTGCAAGAACCCCGGCGCTGGCCTTGGACGTAAGAGTCCCAAGAAGCATCCGAAGTCGGTGAAGGTTGTCGAGACCATGAACACCGAGCATGTTGTTGCTGACCCCGCACTTTTGCCAGCCGTCGATGGAAATGAAGCCCTTGCAGTGTCGTGTGTTTCCCGAAACTTGAAGTTGAGCGATGTTTTTCATGCCCCCAACTCCAAGGAGGTTCATGCCGTGCACGCTGGCCTTACTGCAGACAAGCGTCTTGTGGGTGCTTTGGACAGTGCTTGCAACCGGACGGTCACGGGTTCAGAGTGGCTTCACAGTTTTCTTCGTTGTTTGGAGCATGCGCCCCAAGCTGTTCGAGATCTGGTGCAGTCGTCCCCTGAACATGAGGTGTTTCGTTTTGGAGATGGTGGAACTCAAGTTAGCTCAACCAGGTGGCGAATCCCCGTCATGCTGGGCGACACCGTCCTTTGCGTATGGGTTTCTGAAGTACCTGTTCCAAGCTTAGGTCTTCTTCTGGGCCGGGATTTCCTCGAATCGGTGGGGGCCAACATGTCCTTTGCCAACCGGGTGATCCAGTTTGAGTACTTGAAGTGCCATGCCCTTCCTTTGAAGCAACTTGCGGCAGGCCACTACATGCTGCGCCTGCTGCCGTCGCATTGGGCAGGTCTGGGCACCCAGAAGTGGAGGAGATTGGGCATTGATGGAGTTGTTGAACTTCAGATGTCAATGCAGGAATGGTTGAAAGTCAAGCTTGCTTCTTCTCATGCACGCGAACATGCACACCACGAGCACATGTTGACCGAACTCAGTGTGAAAGCCAGCCGTGTTGTGCATGGACTTGTTGAGCGTGGGTCTTTTGGTTCTTTGGGCTCAACGAGCACGGTTCAAGCCCCCATGCCTTTGTCTGGGCGAACCACTACCCCCTCAACATCGTCTACGACGTCCCCGTCTTCGAGCTCGATTACCAGTTCTTTGGCTGACCATGCTAGCTGCCAAAGCCGCTCACAGCGCCGGTCGCGAAGACAACGAGACTCGGCAGCATGTCAGGTGGACAAGAAGCACGCCTCGCTGCAAGACAAGCTTGGCACTTATGGGGTGTCTTCTTGTGGCTTGTGCGACGTCCTTCAATGCGGTTCGTGCCTCTCCCGTACCCATCGGTGTCCACCGTGAAACAATGGCGACTTCAGGGCAAGACCCAGGAAGAGAATGGCATCGTCCCAAAGGGTACCTTTCAGAAGGCCGAGCTGTGGCAAGCATGGACAGTCAGCAACATGAGCGATTGCATTTGGCTTCGCAATCGCATGGGCATTCGCTACGCGTTCCTGGAGGACCCCATTCTGATGGGCATGCTGGCTGCGAAGAGTGCAAAGGGCCTGACGGCTCGTGTGAAAAAGGAGTCTATTGCGGAGGCCGTGGAGAAAGCGCATCAGTCCCAGATGCAAGGCACTGCGGACCAAGAGGCTCGTGCTATGATTGGTCCCAGAGGTGGCCTTCCAACCCTTCGCTCAGATCTTCTTCGTTTGGCAGCGTTGCTTCATGTGCATATTGGAGAGAAGGACACCGTGCCGGTGATCAAGGAGAAGCTGAAGCCTATGGTGGAAGCGCTCAAGGGCCGCACTCCGGCTGCCGACAGCCGAGCTTCGTCCTCAACGGCACAGCCACCACCTGTGCGTCTTACGAGCGCACCAGTGCAGAAGCCCGCGGCGAAACCGCCACCGAGGGCCATTCAGTCCTTCACACCACAGCCTTGCGAGGTGCTTCATCAGACTCGATCCATGGCCGCCCTGGAACAGCTTCTGAAGCAGGTCAGCGCCGCCGTGGAGCAGATCAAGGACCAGCCCTACAGCATGCAGACTCAAGGAACGATGCCTCAGCAGTACTCTCTCGAGCAGGCTTCCGACGTCTCCATGAACGACTTGGACGCAGAGGCTCAACGCCAGCTGATGGAGGACGCCGCCCTGAGCATGGAAGCCGTCTACGAGGAGAAGCTGGAGGCCCAGTATGGCGAATGGGGCATGCTGGAGCTGACGCCGGAGCAGAAGGAGCGGGTCCTGGACCCGTGAATGAATGGAAGCTTCAGCAAGATCTCAAGAGAGGTCAGGCTCTTCTGATCTCTCAGGCTTGGGAGAAACATCGTCGTGATCAGCTCTCGCGTTTTGGAGTTGAGACCGCCAAGATCAACCAAGCTCTCCAGACTGAATTTGAGAATGAGATGAACTCCTTTGTGAATGATGAGGTCTTTGTGCATGCGATTGACTTCACTACATGCTTGAAGCCGTCTTCAAGTGTTTCGCAGAGCACTTCTTCCTTGAGGGCCTCTACATCTCAAAGTTCGTCTTCCGCGCCACCCTTTGTCTCTGAGGTGTACACGAACACCCAACGAGTGATGCGGGAGGCAGCACGTCGTGGTCACAGAGTGGGCACGCCAATGAGTTTGGAGACTGGTTGGAACTTTCTGGACGCTGATCACCGTGAAGCAGCCAAAAGGCTTGTGAGAAAGGAGAAGCCTTACTTTTTGATGATTGCATTTCCGTGTGGGCCTTTCGGTCCGTTGTTGAGGCTGAACTCTTCCGTGAACCTGGAGGAGATCTTGGAGAAGGGCCGCATTTTGATGCGATTTGCTTTGGAGTTGGCAGCCATTCAACATGAAGCTGGTCGGCACTACATCCTGGAGAACCCTCAACCAAGTGCCGCTTGGAAAGAACCTGACATGGTGAAGTTCTTGGACGAGTTTGAAGCCAAGGTTGCAAACCTTCACCAATGCCAATTTGGACTTCGCAGTCTTCGTGGTGGGCTTCACAGGAAAGCGACTCGTGTGGCATCTTCGAGCTTTCCGGTGGTTGCTTTGCTGGATGGGCGCGTGTGCGATCGCTCCCATGGTCATGACCCGGTCATTGGCGGCCGTGTGGTGACGGAACGGGCTGGGCACTATCCTGGACCTTTGGCACGCGCCTTTGTGGTTGGGATGGAGCGGCAGTTCAACAGCGAAGTGGCTTCTAGGGCTTCTGAAGTTCTGGCTGTGAGTCATGGTGAAGACGCTGATGAGGATGGGGAATCCATTCCCCGACAGTGAGACTGACGAGGAGGATGGCACGAAGACTCCGAATGCAAAGATTCCGGCTAGTGTGCGAGCTGCTATTGCTCGACTTCATGACAACACAGGACATC